GTTACCGTTAGATCCTTCAGCCACGAACCCATTGTGCCCCGAATCAAGAAGCGGTGCCCGATCGATTACTGGACAGGCGCGGGAATACATGTTTCCGATTTCTGTACAGGACGACGTGATGGCAATTTCTTCGAGCAGGAGATACTCCACTCGATGAATATCAGTGGAATGCCGCCCCACAAGTTGACCCTCAAGATAGGAATGCCTATCATGATGATGCGGAAACCTGAATCCCAGATCTAGGGCTGTGCAACGAAACACGGCTTCGAAATTGTGGCCCTCAAGCCACATGTCATCCACGCCACACTCATGACAGGTGAGCGACAAGGGCAACATGTGTTGATTCCGCGCATTGTTTTCATCAGTGACGGAGACATTCGGAGCTTTCCGTTTCATTTGAGACGCAAGCAGTTTCCTGTCCAACGGGCCTTGGGAATGACGATTAACAAGGCGCAAGGACAAACGGTGCAGTACTTGGGGCTGTATCTTGCTACGCCTTGCTTCTCCCACGGGCAGCTGTACGTTGCGATGTCGCGAGTTACTTCAAGATCAAGATTCAAGGCGCTGGTCGAGTACCCAAAGCTGGAGGAGGAGGATGGGGTCTACGCCCAGAACATTGTCTACAGGCAGATCTTTGGTTGAGAGTAGGAATGTTCAATTTCATATGCATTTAATACATCACGTTTACATAAATCATGTTTACGCCGGAGCGTAGCGAAGGCGGGAGCCCATTTCCCCCTGGGACTAAAACCTGCCACCTCCTCAAGAGAAGCGGCGGCGAACGGCTAGTCTTACCCCCCTAGTGGAGTGTGGTGTGCGTCCGTCCGTCAGTCCGTCCGTAACGGGGCTAGGGTTAATAAAACTCACGCTCATGCGGGCGTTCTACTGGCTGCCGAGCGCAGCGAAGGCGGCGTCGATTGGCTAGAATCGAATTATGTGGTGTACACACTGTATGTGGTCAACACATCGTACTTAAAATGTACCGCTCAAATTTCATTTTGCTTTCATTTTCAGCTGCGGTATGCAAGGCCACGCGAAGGGCGCTGCCTGTGAACGCGTTAGTTAGCTGAATTAAAAGGCGCCGATGAGCACACACGTTCTCTATCGTCGTAGGTGCTGTTGATAAAATTGTAGGCTTCGCTGACTCATACTTCGGCCTCAATCAAAACATTAGTACTTATTGGTTTAAATATGATTTGATTTGCTTCGTAGTAGGTTTGTAATAATTTAACTTACAGTACTGTTTTGCGTAGTACTATTCTTAAGACATTTCATATTTTTGCTTGCAGTCATTTGTAG